ATTTACTCATTTACTAGCTATATGTTCTCATTTTCATTCGTCATTTCTTTAACATTTTGTGGAAATGTCATTGACAAAGTGTTTTGTCACCAACAGTTTGTAGTTAAACTTGCATGTTCAGTCTCAGCACTTACCAGCATATCTGACCTGTTTTTTGGCTTTATGTGTGTGATTCTCCCATTTGGTTTTATTTCAGTCTCTTACATGAAGATTTTGTGGGTTTGTCTAATTGTGTCAAAAGAAAGCAAACAAAAAGTCTTAACAACCTGCACACCTCAGATTGTATCATTGTCAAACATTTTTGTCTACGCCATTTTTAATTATGTGGGATCCAGCCTGGATGTTGACTATTTACCAGGTAAAGTCCGCGTTATTTTATCCTTATATATCCATATACTTCAACCAATGATCACCCCCTTCATGTACGGACTTTACCTGCCCAAAATAAGACAATCGTGTAAAAGACTTCTGTTTGGTAGAAAATAAACTTGTTGGATATTTTAGTATGACACCACATAGTTCTATTGACCCTGTGTCCTGGGGATTATCAGCATGGATATTGAAATCTTAACAATAACAAAAGTCAAATTCAGTACACGTTATAGACAGTAAACTAATAACAAGAAACAAAGAAGGTTGCACAATATTTGTTTGGTCTGCAAATGTTTATGAATAAAGCCTGAGTGGATGTCAGAGCTCGCATTTAGTAAAATCATTAAATAAAATAGCAACTCCCTCCCTTTCTTATGCGCTCTTTTCGTGTATCGTGTAAAAGACTTCTGCTTGGTAGAAAATAAATAAGTGGGATATTTCACACTGTGATTATTGTTCTTTGATGTAAGTGCCTCACCATTAAAAAATGTTTGAAATTAAAAAAATATTTCTCATAATGCAGCAAGGGTGTGTTTCAAGCAAGGAGAGTTATATCTGCTCAGAGTAAAAGTGACATGCTTGTAAATGGACTGTACTAGTATAGAGCTTTTCTAGTCTTCTGACCACTCGATGCGCTTTAACACTACTAATCATTCACCCATTCACACCCATTCATACACTGATGACAAGAGCTATCATAGACAGTACCACCTGCCAATCAGTAACTAACATTCACAGCTACAGCAGCAATGTTGGGTTAGGTGTCTTCCCCAAGGACACATCGACATACAGGTTATACAGGTTAGCCGGGCCTGGGACCGAACCACCACCACTCTGATTGGAAGACGATCGTGCTCCCCACTCACCCACAGTGTTTATAGGACTCCTGTGGAGACTCCGCCGGTTCCCGAGTTTCACTCCATGGAAGATTTTCCACTTGAGCAGTCTCGGGACGATACCCTACGCTCAGCCTACGACCAAGTGATACGAATTGATGGTCACCTGGTGCGCCCTGACGCAGCGCAGTCATTTCTGCACTTTTCATTGGTTAGGGACAGACTGTATAGGGTGAGTCGTGACACTCAGACGGGCCGGGGCCGGAAAACACTCAGTTGCTAGTGCCGAAAAGCCGCGGGGAAATGGTTTTCCAGACGCTCACTATAACCCAATGGCTGGTCACATGGGATACGAGAAAACGCTAGACCGGATAATGACCCGATTTTCTTGGCCAGGCATCCGGGGGGACGTGCGCCGCTGGTGCGCGTCCTGCCAGGAAATTATGAATCTATCTTTGTTGAAAAGACATGTACCATGGTTCTTCAAGGTATCTGTAATCAAACCTCTACTTAAGAACCCCACTCTTGCTCAAATGGTGTAGGCTGATTATAGACTTATCTCTAATCGCCACTTCCTCTTTAAGAACCTTCAGAAAAAAGTGACAAGAGACACACACGGTGTAGCGGCCGTCTGCCACTTCCTGTGTGTGAGTGTTGGTACTTTTATTTTGAAATGTAATTAGCATCAGAGTCACGTGGTCGTCGTCGCACAGCATGTATCGCTTCAACTGCTTGGATGTTTTTTAACTTGACTTTCGGACAATAAAATCAATCAACTTCACAGGAGGAATCTGCGTCTGTTTGGAACGAGTCCACAAGCCAATCTCCCGTACTTAGCCTCACGTGACTCTACCGGATTGCAGTCACCACATTTGACAACAAAAAAGTATAATAAATAAGTAATCAGTTGCATACAACAAACGTGCAGTCTTTATCACGGATTCCTGGATTACGGGGTTATGGATCCAAAGAAGAAAGTTGGATTACAGATACATCGCGACAGAGATCCTTACCGAGCCAAGGATTCATCCCAACGCGAACAGCCACGGTAGGCACGCAAAATCCCCACTCTCATTCATGGTGCGTTTGGAAAGTCTGATGGTTTGCGGGTGTCCATTGGGGATCGCCGTCATTCCGGGTGACGTTCGCCTACATCGACTGTTTGGCTTGGCAGTGGGGAATCGGATGTTGAATCCCGTTTGGAAACGTGAATTTAATTGAACGCTATTGACTCGTTGGTGCACTGTGAAAACTTGAACTGTCGAAAGGCACAATGAGTGAAACATGATCGCGACGTGAATAATGTTTCCGAAACAATGGAAAAACGAGAAGTCAAACTAACTGCAAAGGCTTTGGCAATAAAAATTGAAAACTTCAAAGGAGCGAAAGGTGCTCGTAGATAAAATCAAAGCGCTAATTCCTGCTATAAAAGAGCTTATGAAAAGAAAGGAAAATGTTCATCAGGTGCAACAACAAATACAAACCCTTATTCAGCTCCACGACAGGGCCATTGAGCTACATAAGTCATTGATCCCTTTGCTACCCGAAAGCGAACAAATTTTACAAAAGGAATGGTTCTTAAGCATCGAGAGTTACACCAACGTTTTCAAGGACAATGTTACCCAATGGCTGAGTGAAACTACTGTGAACTTGGATGAAAAGGACTTTGATGGCTCAAACAAAGACGTGCCTGACTCTGATATGCACGCCTCACAAGCACCAGCAAAGGCAGTTTCCATGCAGGGAGATCCACAGGATTGTGTGAATCCATCTGACAGCATATCCAACGTGGGAAGCAGGGCCACGGCCAGAAGCTCTCAAAGGTCATCTGTATCAAGCATTTCTTCTGCTCGCATAAAAGCTGAAGCTGACCTGGCAGCACTGATGGCACGACAAGGATTTCTGAAGGACAAACATGCGCTGGAGGAGGAAAAGATACGAAAACGAAAAGAGAGACTCAAGATGGACGAGGAAATCGCTGCACACATGGCTAAAGTGAGCGTGCTAAGGGCAGCAAGCATGACCAGTTCTAAAGGCAGCGCAAGACAATCCGACAACATGAATTCTTAATTTAGTGAAGCACAAACACAGTCAATGCAGCTGAGAGCTGATGCTGCTACATTTGAGCAAATAATTGCCACTGCTTATATGGACCAAGTTCTGTCATGGGACCCAATAAGATCCGAAGATGTTAATGCATTACAGGATTACGGTTTGTTTCTTCGAAGCTGTAGCAATGTGATGAACGGCGTACAGTATATGTATGAACTGGATATGCCCGCTAATATGCTCACAATAGTAAAGAAATTGCCATACAAGCTTTGGGATTGCTGGAGAACAGTAGCCTGCGAGATACAAGAGAGCCGTAACCAAAGGGCTACATTCAGCGACATTGTTAATTTCGTTGAAAGGCAAGTTAGAATTCTAACACACCCAGTGTTCGGGAATATCCAAGACCCCGCACCAGCATTAAGTAAAAGTATGAATTGAACCATCTCTAAACCCAAAGGAAGTATTTTCGCTACAACTGCGACCAAATAGGACGAACGAAAATAGGAATATTGGAACACGGGAATGGAAACGGTACACTGCCTTACCCAAAGATTGTCTGTTTTGTGAAGGTGAACACACTCTAGAGTCATGCCCTCACCTGGAAGAGAAGACTCTCACCGAAAAGATCACATTCTTAAAGGAAAATGGTGTTTGCTTTGCCTGTTTATGTACAGTACATATCAGCAAAGATTGTCAAAAACGGTTGACATGCCAAGTGTGTTGTATGAAGCACCCCACAATGCTTCATATTCAGTTTAAGGAGAAGCAAGCAAAATCTGAAACTGAACAAGAGCCAGGCACGGCAGCGGGCAGAGCCTTAATGTCCAATGGCCTCACTGGGGCTGGTGAGGAAGATTGTAAACTTCCCATAGTCCCAGTTCAGGTTAAGTCTAGGAAAGGTAATAAGACAGTGCTCACTTATGCTTTCCTAGATCAAGGAAGCACTGCTGTTTTCTGCACTGAGAACTTAATGAATAGGCTTATCTCACAGGAAAGAAAAGTTGTATCCTTTTACGTACTATGGGTCAAGAGAAGGTCATGAATACCCAATTAGTCACAGGTCTCGAGGTGGCTGGTCTGGATGGTGAGATATTTTGCGAACTGCCAAGTACTTTCACTCAGGAGAGTATGCCCGTCAATAAGGGAAATATTCCACGTCGACAGGATCGTCAGAGATGGCCTCACTTGCGAGATGTTCATCTGCCAGAGATCGATGCAGAAATCGAGCTGTTAATAGGAACAAATGTGCCAAAGGCCTTGGAACAATTAGAAGTGATCCGTAGCGTGAACGATGGACCTTATGACATCAAAACAATTCTAGGGTGGACTAGGTTAATGGACCATTGGTAGGAGACAGCAGCGATGGATTTGACATTGTCACAGTCAATAGAGTTTCAATTTCAAACTTGGATAAGCTCTGGCAGCAACAGTTCAAAACTGATTTTCCAGAATGCAGCCATGAGGAGCAACCTGCTTTGTCAAGGGAAGACCAAAAATTCATGAAGCTGGTCAGAAATTCAGCGAGCCTTGTGAACGGACATTACCAGATTGCATTGCCCCTGAGAGAATGCAAATTAAACATGCCAAATAACAGAAAAGTCGCAGAGCAGTGTACTCTTAACCTTCAAAGGAGGTTCAAGAGAGATGTGTCTTTCCGACAGCAGTATGCAGACTTTGTGGACAATCTTGTCTCCAAAGGATATGCTGAGCGAGTACCTGCGGAGGAACTGGCTCGTGATGATGGGAGATTGTGGTATATCCCACACCATGGCTTCTACCACCCTCGAAAGGGGACGATGCGGGTGGTGTTCGACTGCGGAGCACCTTTCCAGATGACGTCTCCCAATGATCAGCTCCTGCAGGGACCAGATCTCACCAGCTCATTGAGAGGTGTCGTGACCAGATTCAGGAAGGAACCAGTGATAATCTTGGCAGACATAGAGTCCATGTTCCATCAAGTGAGAGTACCAGCAGAAGACATGGATTTGCTGAGGTTTCTCTGGTGGCCCGATGGTGACTTTGCACAAGAACTGGTGGACTTCAGAATGAAGGGGCATCTCTTTGGTGCAACTTCATCACCTCACCAAGTTGTGCTAGTTTTGCACTTAGAAAATGTGCTGAGGACAATGAAGGGCAGTTCAGTCTGGAAGGTATCTAGAAGGTTTTACATTGTTTCTATGTGGATGATTGCCTCGTAGCCACAGCCACTGAGAAAGAAGCTGTGGCACTCCAGCACGGTCTGGTGTCCATCTGTTCCAAAGGCGGCTTTAAGTTGACTAAATGGACGAGTAATCAACATGCCGTGATCACAGCAATACCAGAAGATCAAAGGACAAAAGACAGAAAAGGACTAGTACGAAGGCTACTTATCAAGACTAAGACCAATTGTTTAGATAGGACAATAACCAAAGTCTGTTTGCTATTGGAAGCAGAGGTCTGAAGAGACAATTACTTTTGACTGACTTATCTACTCACATGACAAAAGGTGGTGGTAAAGATCACCTTGACAGGCTAAGTGCTTGAACCTCTGGCCTA